ACTGGACCTAAGCAGCCTGCAGAATTAAGCAGATTTGACCGTAACAGGAAGAATAGCATGGAGCAGGAAGAATGGATTTAGAGAAGAAGGGTAGTGGAAACTCATTTAAGGCTGGTAAAGGAGAGAGGAAAACTGAGGTTTGGAAACCGGAGGCTTTGGTTGATTGGGAGCCAGGACAAATTACTGATGCGATTTGGTTCATCTTCTATACATTGAGGCTAAAGTGCTCCTTACCTCACAGAAGTACTGTGAGAGCCTTCCTGAGAGAGGTAGCTGGGGCTGAAAAATCAGTTGTGCAGAGGAAAGAGAAAATTTGGACTAGCTGGCAACAGACCTGGGCCTGGGTGTTGCGACTTCTCATGACCTTGTTATGTGTCTTCACTTCCCTACTAACTGTGGTATTTCTGGTTCTATTGCTCTTTCTCATTTCCCATGGCTTCTATTCTATTCCATTCTATTTCCTCCACATTCTCTGTATTTCTTTCTTGTTTCTTCCATTATGGTTATTTATATTGTGCTGCCTCTGTTACTGAAAACTGAGGTGAAATTTTCAGGGTTTTGATTGCTGTACCACTAAAGGGCAAAACTATAAAGACCAGAATCTTGTAAGTTTTTTAATTTGTTTTCTGTACAAAGAACCAATGAGCAGATCAGTAGAGAATTAAAACAATAAGGAAAATAAATCTATTTCACCACTGGTGGATACTTCCCCATTTTCTACTCTAGATTTTTTTAGACTGAAAAAGAACAAGTAAATTGTGTTTGAAACTTTTTTTTAAACTCCACCATGGTTCTAGTGATGGCACACACTGTACGCAAAACAGAAAGATGAATCCTTTCTTTTTAAAGGTTCAGCAAACACTGATATATGTCAGATTTTCTTCTTTGTCGAGACACTTAAAAAAAATTAAATTTTAATTCAAAGCTGTTTTGGCATTTGGTTTTGATTTCCAGGGTAAAAATGTAAAGTAATTATCTATTTTGGGGGGTGCAAAAATGTCTTCCAGTTTGATGATACGTGCAGAGTATTATGCATATTCACGTTTAATCAATTATGACTGTAAGCACTTAAAAAAAAAATTGGTTACCCTTTTTAACATCTGTTCCTGTATTACTGGTTTATATTGCAAGGGACGTGGTCAGAAGAACAATCTTTTACGATACATAAACAGTAGTACATTTATTTTAAAGATAAAGATACTATACATCTCAAATTTACATACTGTTCTGCCTGTGGTTATCTCTGCTTAAGTAAGAGGCCAAGCTGTAGTATTTTAAACACCCACTATTGTGATCCTTACATTAGGAAGGTGGATCGGTGATTTTGTGATGGAATCTTAATGCACATTTTATTGATAAGAATAATGGCAACAGTCAAAAATATTTGACTGCTGTTGCTTTTTAAGTTTCTACATGGCTCATAATGTAACTTCAAGAAGTCTTAGAATTAAAATGGGCCAAAAAACCCCACCCCACCCTGTCGTGTTTATACTTAGTTTTTGTTCTTCGGGATTACTTTGCAGGCAAACATATGACCTTAGGAGATAATTTAAAAGAACTTGGAAAAGCAATGGCTGGAATAGGAGGAACTGATTCAGAAAGAAGTGGTGACTTGAATTTCTTCAGCATTGAGCAAGCCAAAGCAGTCATCGATTACTTGAATATCAGGTATTTATTTCTACGGGATCCATTATTTCTTATTTGAATAATTAATGTGGTGGGAAATTGGCTAATAAAATAAGTTAAAATTATTTAATTGGGTATGTTCATACTGTGCCAACATGCTGCAGACACCAAACTTTAAAACATTAAAAAGAGGAGAGAATATGCAAATGGCAGTAAAGATCTGGCCTCAGATGCCAAAGCCCAGGAAATAAATTTAGACTTGAAGTGTATCAAAATGTAAGGTGAAAAGCTTCCTTCTGGGTTTTGTTTTGGGTGATAAAAGGGAAGGAGGAGAGTAGTGTATAGAGAATATTGTTGGTCTGCTGTTAAAACATTCTATTTTTAGATTCCAGTTGAACAAAATCCTAGGTCTTGTCTATAACTTGTAAGTATTTGTCTGGCCTTGACAGCTGTAGTGGACTTCTTAAGTGGTTTAAAGTTACGTACTTTACAAAATTAAGGCTACAGTCGTATATGAGTCACAAAAATGTTGCATTTTGAAGTTAGCAAAAGTTCAGTATCTACATGAAAAGGTTTAATGACAGGTCTCAGCTTTTAAACAGACACAGAAAGAGATGCAAACAGCGGTAATTCAGTTATTTATCTGAGAAAAAAATTAAGGGTCTGATAGCAGCCAATCACACCTCTCCATGTAAAGTCTTAACTATACAATAACGTATACAGACATTTCTCCACTGAAAAGCCATAGTTAGGACAGTGGCTATACTCATATACCACTGTTGCCAGTACATGATGGATGGAATGGTTCTCAAGCTGTTGTATCACCCGTGAATGTCAGGGGCAAGGAGGTGGAAAATGGAGAAGGTACTATGGTAATATATGCTCATACACTGTACAACAGCTGTACCTTTCAGCCCGTTTTCTGACCTGAATGGTGGTTAGAGGGAGAGATTTTGTGGCAGATGGGCATAAAAAGCGAGTAAGGTCATGACTGATCCATATGTAGAATGGTTGGGAATTTTCTGACTGTTCTTGTGTTTTCTTGCATGAAGAAAAGTATTTCCTCTTGAAGACAGACAGAAATACTAGGATGGCTGATAGCCTTCCAGTTTAGGGTACTCAGATTCAGACTGGGGATTTAAACCCATCCCAGGTGATTTCTCTTACAATTGGGCTATAAAGTTTGTCTCTTTCTCCTGCTCTCCCATTTTTTTCTTTTGTTTCTTTTTCATGGAAAATATAAAAAACTTCAGGTTCTTCCCATATGAAATGAGAACATCTCTTTAAATCTCAAATTCCTGTAGTCAAGGCAAACCAATGTCCTGCCAAGTACTAGCCCTAAACTAAAAGGAAACTTGGCATTTAAGATGTCTCACTCAACTTCTTTTACTTCTCCCTTCCTGTCTGTGCCTTTTGTATATTTATTTGGAACAAATGTTCTTTCCAAATAGCATGTCTGTAGCTCTTGTGTAAATTATCCTTTGAAAGATATCTTGTCCATGAAGTAATTCCTTCACAGTCACAAGAATTTCATCCAAGAGATTAGGTGCTCCATCCTACTACCACCGAAGTATTAACTGGGCGGGAATACAATCAAGCCACAAGACTTTTGCAGCAGAATGGTATTTTGGCCACCAAATATGTGGTTGTATGTTCAAACTGCTTAATTTATTGCAAGTATGTGCTCTTGCAAGGTCATGGATATATACACATACACTGAGATGTGTCATATGTGTCCAGTTTATACAATCCATTATTTCAGTCATTTGAATATTTTTTTCTAAATAAGAACTGAATCAGCACACTTATCTGGGTGTATTTTGAACTTTATGAACTCAGAAATAGGTTGACTGAGTTTTATTACAATTCAAATTAATGTATTACTTCAACATTTTTTCTTGTTCTTCACTTTTTTTGGTTTAATTTTAAATGATAGGCCTATAGCTTTTTTTTCTACTCAAGTTAGTATGACATATTTTAGTTCAGATCACATTTTTACAGAAGAACTATAAACCCATGGGATTTATAATGGAAATGGGGACAAATGCTTAACCACATTGGCGCAAACTGTGCAGCAACTATAATGACACCTTCAGGTTTGGTGGAAGGTGACAGTTACCATCTTTTTATCTTGTTTCCTTGGGCAAACACACATCAACATAGCTCTTGACATTTTCTTTCAGGAAGCAGTGGAGCTAGGGAAATATGTCATTGTTAATCACCTTCAGATTCTCAGATGACATCATAAGAGGGTCTATTCTGAACAATCTTACTTGCATGAGTAAAATTATTTTTGTGTAATTGCTAAAAATGTTGGTACAGAATTTTTTAATTGTTCATAAAGGTAGAAACAAAAAAGCATTTTATATAATGCCTGATAGAAGAAAGAAAACTACACTGTTGTTTCAAAATAAATACTGATGTATAATTTACGTGATTTGATTTAAAGAGCATTAAATGGAGGAATTCTTTCCTTGATACAGGATTAAGGGTGCCAGGTTGAACAGAGTTCTGTTTTAAAATGAATAAATAAATAAAATTCAGAAATGCCAAAAGTAATGACTTCTATTTTTGGGAATATTATAAATTACCTGTACCTGTAACACAGTCCATAAAGAATATCATAACACATTTAGAGGGGAAGGGGAAGAGCTGATTTTCACGTGCTGTAAATCTGGCTCTTTTCCAAGGCACTGGAATAAATAAAAAAAAAAGCTTGAAATGTTCAGTTCTGCCAGTGCAGTTTGAAAGATATATATCTTATTTCTAGTGTGTCCGTGATGTTCATAAAATATTTTTTGTCTTTTTCAAATAATCCCTGTTAGAATTTTACCAAATAATAGGTGTGTATGTGAGGGGACACATATATTTTCATAAATGGGTGTGAGTCATTTCCAGGTTAAGTCCTGAAGTCTGCTTAAACATAATTCCTATAACTCCACTGAAACATGGCAGGAATTCTTTGAAGTACTGCAATAAAAATGTAGTGCAAATGAAATGGCAACTATTGTAACAACTTAATTGCCTATGTGCTTTGGGTTTTGGGGAAGGGAACTTGTAGTTTATGGTAGCCAAATTTCTTATGCAAGTTGGTAAACAAATTTGTTTTTTAACTAATGGTAATTGAATGACTGAATTAAATGTAACTGTAGAATAAAACTTTTATTTGGCACTTAAAGAACCAAATGTTGAATGAGGCTGCCATAATACTTCTCACCAAATTAGGAAATGCATCTGTACATATGTGCAAAAATGTCTGCGCCCATTTGGGTAAAAATGTATTTGAAAGTTTCACAGATGCATTTGACTAACTGCTGGAAGATGTACTGCTCTCACGTAAGAGAGGCAGGCAGTGCCACCATTTTAGTCTCCTAATTCTGAGCTGCTTTCATGGCTGGAAGAACCACTGCTGTACATTAGTCGGCACTTTAGCACTGCTTAAATTAGAGCAAATCGTCCCTGGTCCGCAGTATTTCGTGGAACCTCTGGTTCTGTGGCAGTGGCCTGTGGCAGTGTGTAAGTACTGGTGGTGATTCAGGGAAGGACAGTCAGCTAAAATAGTGTGTACTGAGCATCAACTCCCACAGCTGGCTTCCCCATTACCTCCCAGAGCCAGGATTGTATTTCAGACACCTACGTCCCACCACAGCAGCCTCTCGCTTTGCATGCAGCTGGCTGGTCGAGCCCTTCTGCTGGCCGTGCCGGGGTGCGAGGCTGCTGGGTGGGAGAAAAGCCTCAGCGCCGTGGGGTGGCCAACCAGGGTGGCACCTGCGGGGGCTGGCTCTGAGAGCCTTGGGCAGCGCCACGTCTGAAAGAGCAGCCTGTGCTGGGTTGTGTGGCCAGGCACTGGTATTGTAAACACGTTTTCATAGCATTTGCATGATATCCTGCAGCTAGTAGCAGTGTCTTTAGCATTAGCTAGATAATTGCGTATGTTGGGTGTAGTAGGTACTTTCATAGACCCATAGAAAAATTGAGGTTGGAAGGGACTTGTGGAGGCCATCTAGTCCAAAACATTCCTCACAGCAGGCCTCAGTATTCCAGATGTGGCCTTGCAAGTGCCAAGCAAAGGGGCATTGCCATCCCAGTTGATGGCTCTCTTAAGAAAAGAACCTGTGTCCTGTCCTTAGCCGGAAAGCACAGAAACCAATTACAGATGTTCCCTGCAAATATTGCTGTATCTTTCATGGGTACATCAGGCAGGAGTGTGATAAACTCTTGGAATCATTCTTCAGCCTGGACTTGCTATGAAATCACAGAACTGTGTTTTAAATCACATGTCCAAACTCTTGGAATCATTCTTCAACCTGGACTTGCTATGAAATCACAGAGCTGTGTTTTAAATCACGTCAAAATGACATGACAGAAGCCAGAAGTTCTGTATCATGATTTTAAGAGGACAAGTAATTGTAACAGATGGACTGTGACAAACCAAACCTTTGATTAAACAAATGCCATATCATTGATCATTAGGAAAGGGAACAAGGAAAATTATTTAAAACATGTGAAAAGGAAAGCCATATATGTTTTAAGGAAGATAAATATTTTAGGCCATTGAGAAAGTCTACTTAAAATTACTTCTGTTGTAATACACAAAACTCCAGTGTGTCAATCTAGTTTTTTAGTTTTTCCTTGAGGAAATACTACATTGATTTTGAAACATGACCTTGAGTGAATAAATGCTTCTATTCTTTATTGTTTTGGTGTTCCAAGATCAAACTTGCTCCCTGGACTGGCAGCCCATCCCAGAATCTGAAAGCTGATTTGGCTTTGTTTCCTTCTTGTCCACTATTGCTCATATTAAAGGCATAAGTATCCTGGTGATAAGTGTTTCAGGAATTACTTTTTTCAGAGTAGAACTTTGTCTTCTCAGAGTTCAATTTCATAAGGACAAAGTGGATGTATTTTTAAGTATCATACTGTATTTTCTACAGCCATCTGATAGTAAATCCTGTAAATTAAATATTCTGCATATTGTACCTGAAGTTAAACAACCTTTTTCTTTTTAAAATTTGGAGCATTACCATGCTGGAGAGTAACTCTTAGTTTAACAGAATTTTTAATATTGTTACCTTTCCAAAGATTTACAGCTGTAATAGTACTATATTCTCTTGTTTCCCAGCTTATTTAAACACTATAAGCTATATGAATACCTCTTCCACAGTCCTAGAGAAGAACTTGTGATAAGTAATGAGGTAAGTCATTTATATAGATGGAACTCATTATGCAGAGTTATTTAATGAATGCACTGTGGCATATGTTTTTTATTGCTCAAAGCAACTTCATGTCAACATTACTGCATTACTAACGTAAAATGGCTGATTAAAGAATACAAGTTAGATGTTTTGATCCTCATATTCAAAATTAATTTTGGATTTCAAAAAAGTGTAAATGCATTGCTTGGTTAAGATGTTAGTTGTGTTAAATCAGGAATACTTTTGTGTATGTATTTATAAGTTGATGCATGTAATTTGAATTAGCAATGCGTGAGTCTGACTCTATTTTAAAATCAGCAATCAAAGTCAGAAAACGTGTACCAAGCCTAGTCTGACCGCAGTCCTAATATTTATGTATGCATGTGTATGTACAGAGTTTTGTTTCTACTGTAGCCACCAACAGTTAATTATACTGACTGTAAAGAAACAAGCTAGCTAGAAAGTCAGCGTTTTGAAAGCATTCAGTTAATAGTAGTGAATTGGCTTGACTGTAAACTTTGTCATGTATTCTAACTTATACGTGAAAAAATACATAGGAAAATGCATTGATGCGGGATGTGGCCTTTAATCAAATGGACAGATTCAATTCATCAAATAAACCTTCCTTTAGCCTGACTATGCATTTTGAGGATATATGTTACAATACATTGAAAAGGATTTACATTTATAATTTATATTAGGAGACAACTGGTTGCTCAGAGAGGCACGATAGTAGAATTTTTTTGATGGCACTTATATTTTAGCTTAGCAGTACACAGTGAAGTTAAAATTAACGCACTGGAAAATTTTCTTTACACTTTTTAAGCTGGTGGTTTGACTCTGTAAGTGATGTGGGATAATTTCTTTCCGTGTTGCTTTTAAATAGCCATATTATAAAAAAGAAGGACTTTTCTTGACATGGATGCAAATATTAGGAAATCATTCTCATCATTTGTAAGGTCGGTTAAAATTCCAACTATGATGAAATCAGTGACAAAACTGTCATTACATAAGTAGAGCAGGACTTCAGCGTTACTATGTTAGGGTGGTTGTTTTATATTAGCTAATCAGACCGATGGCTGGGTAGCACTTTCTAATTGGTAAAATTACTTAAAGCCTCATTAAAAATAATTTCTTGTGTAAATTTGGGTAATTTATCTTATCAGTTGTAGACTACCTTAAAAGAAATGTCTTTGTGTTTCCTTAAAACCAATTTCTGGATGGCTGAGATCAGAGTACACTGCCCCAGACACGGAAGAGTGGTTGCTCTGCAGAGTCTGTTTGCTGGGGAGTACCACCTCTGCTGAAGGTACCACCTCCACTAGGGAATGGCAGAAATGTGTTTCTGTTAATTACTTTGGTGACAATCCATCAAAGGAACAAGTGCAGTCTACAATTATAACTGTCACAAAAACCTTCATGACAATTTTTAGCCATAACTCTTTTACGGCCATTTCTTACCTATGCGCCAGTTCAGTTTAATCCATCTGTTTTGTATTCTGAGTTCCATGGCAGAGAGTCTTTAATTTGTCCAACCACACTGCAATGCCAAGAAAATCGATACTTATATTCCTGTTGAGTTTATTTTGATAGGGTGATACATTGTTCTTCAATAAATAACAGCTTAAGGCATTGAAGCTACACATACAAATTTATGGCATTATTTGCACTTGCTTTATGTGTTAAAATGTGATGAGAGGTGAACCCAACGTAGACTTCAAGTTCTTTTGCTACAACTTTGTTATATTTAGAAATGCTTATCCATAAAGGAGAGCATTATCTTATATGTTTGCAGTCCCTTAAATGAACAGCTCAAACCCTGACAAGTTAGTGGGGCTGATGTAGTTTGGTGTGTATGGCTATGGCAGGAGCACGCCTGGAGTCACATGCTCTGCAGTGCATCTGCTCAGGGAACAGAAGGGGGCAGGAGATCGACTGGGAAATCTGCGTGCTGAAAGTAGACAATAAATCTGTGCTGAAAGGCTGAGTGCTGTCTTGCTATGTAGATCAATGTCTTACAAAAAAAAAAAAAAAGCCCATGTAGACACACCATGACCCACAGCTGGATGTAATCCTTACTCTAAGCTGAGAGCTGCCAATGTCTGAAGAGTTTTCTTTTAGTTCCAGTGATAAAAGTCTGTTCTTTTGGAATGGGGGACTGTAAATTGTAATGGCCAGATTTGCCCAAATAACAAGAAGCGTGGTGTTTCAAGATCTTAGTTACAGTATTATCTCCTTTTGCGAATGAAGACTTTGAGACGAGTCAGTGAAATACTTGCTCCAACTGAAATGATTTGCTTCAACTGAAATGGCTTGCTTTAGCTCAGTGAGTAAATTCGTGCTCTACGTGTGCTGAAAGTATTATGTACTGAATAAAAGTCCAGTAGCCTAATGAGAAGACCTGCTTCTTTAAAAGAGATGCAGCTACAACAAATAAAAGCAGTACTTAGTGTTGTAATGGATATCCTTTCAGAGAAACGGCGGTATGCATTTTCCAGAGAAATCTTACAGCGATGGATTGTAAACTCATTGGATTTTATTTTTTCTCTAGCACAGGCAATTACACAGTGTTCTCAATCAGGTTTCCTTTTTGATCTTTCACTGCAGTTATTTCCAAATGACCCTGTCATTTCCTGTGTAGAATAAAATCAGACAAGAAAAGGGAAATGACTCAAAACTCATTTAGATTATGCATACAATATCTGTGGCCATGCCACTTAACAAAATTTAAGATACTTAAATGTGGCACGTAATTAGTGGAGCTTCACAGTCTGATTAATATTCTGCGTTTGATGCAGCTAGCGTAATAGAACTACCTTTGTAAAATACAGACAGTATTTAAGTCTTTTAAAAAAAAAAAAGTAACAACCGCCTGGCTAATTTAAATATCTTTTTACGTTGGCTAAAGCCTTTAAACCGAACTGCCTGAGGTGATCATATTGCCTAGGGGAAAAAAAAAGGTTAAAACTGAAAGACATGAATGCTTGGTTAGATGATAAAACACACATCATACATCTAACCTACTTTGGCAGTATTTAAAATTTAAAACTTGCCTTTCCAGCTATCAAATCCCTTACTTCTCCTTCATTCCAGATCTACAAAGACCTATATATTATGTATGCATGAATACCTGTTAGAAAACATGACGGTACAAGGAATTACTGAGAAGTGTTAAGATCGCCAAGTAAATTCGTTGCTTTTTTTCTGTTACTATTATGAGCAGTTCCCCACATTTAGAATGATTACATAAGAAGCAGTGCTTTAGCTGAGCTGTGGCAGTGATCCAAAATAACATGCATGTAGTGCTAACATACCAGAGTTCTTCAGGAATATTGTTGTTAAAGATACTGTTTTTTCCTTTGCCCGTTCTGGAGGTTTTACTCTCTAGCTGTGATTTAGTACACCTAAATACACCTGCAATTTCAAAGAAAGCGAAAGGAGTACAGACTACATCTTGACGTGCAGGGATTCAATGGAGCAATTCCTATTAACACATGTCAGATCTTATAACAAAGGTTTAAATTGTTAATACATGAATTGTGTAGAAGTTTTTATTCTTTTCTATTTCTATGTTCAGTTAATTTATTTTGCTTTGATAGGATGATATATTACAGCACATCTTGTATTTTTTTTTCTCACATTTACAAATTGTACCTTATACCGCAGTTCATGTTTTTGCTGCTCTCTGTTGTGTATTTTTGGACGGAATGAGGCTAAGGTCTTTTGGGATTATGTCTGCTTTGAAACATTTCCTAATAAAAATAATGTGGTTGGTAAATCTAGTTTTATTCCTAGTTGCTTTAGCCAGCCTGATGGAGTAATCTGCTATTTTATGGCCCAGATGACTAGCTAAGTTTGACTTCTTGAAATAGTAGTGTACAATGTAATTTTCTTTAGAGATGTCATAGTGGGTCAGGTTGCAATAAAAATATCGAAGATTAAGTTTAATGGCAGTGCAGATTCAGTATTATAGCAGTCACTAGATATCATCCTCTGTACTTAGAGTTCCAAAACAGTTTCCATGAATGCCTTCTTTCCATGTACTACTTACTCGCTGAAACATTATGCTTTCGGACTATGTCTGGTCTTTATCCAATTGTGGGTTGGGTTTTTTTTGAGCTTGAACAAAATCCCTTCTGTGTTTGAATTTAAGGGGGTGGATAGGAAGAATATACTATTTGAAAGCTCATAAAGCTTTTTTTCTGATGGCAAAAGACCTGAAGTCTGGGACTTGACTTTGATATGTAATCCTCATTAGGTGTTGCATATTTAGATTGGTTAATCAATCATTGTTAAAACAAATTTGCTCAATGATTTCTTGAGAACTGCATTTTAAAGATGTATGAAACCAGAATATTTCAATAAGCATATCAGTTCACACTAGAGAGACTCATTCCCCAGCTAACGGAATGCATGCTTTTCAAAGCTTGGAGGTTTCAGATATTTGTAATGCTTAAAAACCACTGAGTTGATTTTCTGTAGCTTTGTTTTGTAAATATCACCATGGCAAAGACATCAAGACTACTTTGAAGGAAATAAGAGCACAGGACTGGACGGGACTTCTTCAATTGTCAGCTCTAGTGCCACTTTCTCATAGCAAAACATACATAATCCTCTTCAGAAACTTGTCAAACTCTGGCTTAAAAAGTTAACTTTTTTGTCTTTGCTCTTCCAGTTAGAAAGCTGCCCCAGTGCCTGGTTTCTGTAATGGTTATAAAACTTCTAATTTCCAGTCCAAGTGTATTCATGACAAGTTTACATGCGTTTGTCCTTGTGCCAATTTGTGCCAGCATTGACCTTTAGTTCATGTTCCATCCCCAGTGTTTATTTTTCTAATGTATAAAGAGACAGCAATCTTATTGTCAGCCTTCATTTAGCTAAACTAGAAAAGCCAGCCTTCTCTAATCCTTGCTTTTGAGGTAGGCTTTTGATACGTGCATTCTTACTTACGTACCAGCCTCTAGTCATCCTGTTGGCCTTTTTCTATAATTGTTTCACTT